TTGAACCTCTCCTCCACACTCATCCTAAAACATTAGCATAATATAACAAATTCAATCTCAAATCTGAACAAAAATGCATTCATATGCAAACAAGAAAAACTATTCCATAGATGTCACCATAGAAATCAATGAATCCTCAATTCCAAACTAATTGGGATGGCTATATGAGTTACTTTTTCATTTTTGATGGTGGTGGTGTCCGGGCTAGTTTGTGGCACCTCGACTACTCCACTGGGCACTTGGTACCTCCAACTAGCACATGTACCGGGGTAACTCCACCTACCAAGGCTTAGGCAGATGAAAAAAATTACCTAATGTAGTATTTATTTGCCTTCCATTGGGATTTGAACCTAAGACGTCATGATTCTCCTCCTAGTTTATTGACTACTGGGACATACCCTTGGGTGCAGGACGGCTATATGAGTCTTCTATGTTTCATGCTATTCGGGTCCATTTCATTCCAATGATAAATAATTTGTCAGAGCTCTCTATAAATCTCTAAGATTACAGGTTATTAACAGAATTCACTAGCTCTTCAGAAATAAAAAATACTCCAAATAGAAATTATATGATCCGTGAGAGCAAATAGAGGCAGAGGCTTACTGGGAAGTGGCAATGGAAGTGTCGGATGAAGAAGCCTTCAATGAGAGTGCAACAATGGCATCTGAAGCCTCTTGATTATTCATTATCCTGCAAATGAATTAGGGTATTATGTGATATTTCGGAAATTACACAGCAAAAAAAAAAAATCTTGAAAGAGACTTACTGGGAAGTGGAAATTGGAGGTTTAGATGAGGAATCCTTCAAAGAGAGAGCATTAATGGCTTCCGAAGCCTCTTGATTATCCATCTTCCTCTGCAGCCCATGTAGAATGATCAGAGTATCTATCGCACTTCCCCTAGGTTTTTAAAATTTATACTATCAGCTTTAATCTAACGGATGCTGTAAAATCTATTTACACTTTACAGTTGAGTCAATGAATTTATTAAGCAGATGGTAAAAAGTAAACACCTGAACCGCGAAGTAGGGGAAATGTTTCTCTCTCTCTCTCTTTTTTTTTTTCCGAGACTGGGAAATTGGCTAAATAATTTATTTTTAATTTTTTTTCATCACCTTTTTTAAGAGTGAGAGAAACTCGTTGCTTGTTTAATTTCTGTAATCAGTTCTTATTATGAATTGAAGAAATAAATGCGTCTATTTCCTAAAATGTCGGGCGAACATGCTAAAATCTAGCAAACCCGAAATTATTCCCTACAATTTGATTTCTTACTGGGTTGGGTTATACCCGTGGACTGTTCAAGTCCATCTACCAAGCCCGACGCACAGGATGAGAATAGAAGGTAAAAATATCATGGCCTAGCCAGTTTTCGGACTGGTCATTCAAAAATAGTCAGTATTTGCCAAGTCATTGAAAAATAACCACTATTTTGCTGTAACAGAGACCGATCCAGCATAATATACTGGAGTTCGGTGCATCTGTGTATGAACTTCCACCATATTATGCTGGAACTCCAACACGCGAAAAGTTCCAACATAATATACTAGAGATTCGAGCACCTGTGTATGAACTTCCTGCTTATTATACTGGCCCGGTATACTTTGCTGAAACTCCAGTATATTATGCTGGAGTTCTAATATACTTATGCTGGAACTCCATTATATTATGCTGGAGTTCCAGTATACTTATGCTGGAACTCCAATATAATATGCTGGAGTTCCGGTATACCTATGCTGGAACTCCAGTATAATATACTGAAGTATTTTCCGGATTTTGAAAGTGTTTTCGTTCAAATTTATCTTTACATGAAAAGTGACTAAATTTCGATTGCTTTTGAAAGTGTGACTATTTTTAAATGACCACTTGTAAATCTGGCTATTTTTGAATTTCTCCCGAATAGAAGGGCTCGCTGGTAAATGAGGCCCCAATAAAAGATGGATTTTATCGATTTTTATCTAGCTATGCTATATTAGAAATTTATTTACCTATGTTCTCTATGTTTTGCAGTTTTTAACAAGTATCTAGGTTTTTCTTATAGATTGTATACAATGCTTCTTAAAAGGCTCTTGCCCCATTATTAGTATATTCAATTAAGAGATTCAATTACATCCTTTCCTTTTTTTTCCACCTCTCCTCTTCTCTCTTTTTTTTTAACATCAAAATCCCTTAATCCACGCCCATGATCTCCATTTTCTCTCTTCCCACCATTTTTGATAGCTTTATATTATATAAAAATATTCAGAAATTGTATAATAATTGTATTCATAATTATATTTGAATTGTGTCAGATACATTAATGCCTAAAACATAAATGTATCATACTTGTATCACAATTGTATCTAACTTGTATTTGGTACATTAATATCCAAAATAATACCTGATACAATAATAATAATAAATTAATATACAATTATCATATTTGTGATACAAACTATGAAATTCGTCACGAACTCACAACTACTCATAATAATATACAATGAATATACAATTATCATACATTTCTAATACAATTCCTGCAATTATGATCTTATTAAAGTTTCAATCACAACTCTACACTAAAAATTTAATATAATCATATTATAATTGTATTAGTATTGTATCGAGTATTGTTTTGGGTATTGATAGATCATATACAAGTTAAATACAATAAAAATTTTTAGAAAGAAAGAAAATAAGATTCAAATTCAATGCTGAAGAAGGAGCGAATGTTATGCTAAGCTAGCCACCCCTCCCCTTCCACTCAACCAGTGATGGCAAAATGATACAAAAATAGTTATTCATCCATATTATCTACTAAAAAATGAATTGGATAATTAACTTTTTGAAAATGGGTCAAATATGGATAAGAACTATATTATTCACTTAGAAAAATGGATAACCTTTAGATAACCAATGAATAACTATTGAGTTTAGTTTTTACATAAAGATTCAAATTGGGGTTCTCAAGCTTGGGAAACTAGGAATTCTTTCAAAGATGATCATTATATTATTCATTTTCGACCCGTTCATATTCGACCCGACCCACCTGTTTGTCACGCCTACACTCAACCTTACCATCCTCGGACCCTCTCAGCCTGAATAACATAATGTCAAATAATTATTTGGCCTCGATATAGTTACACCAAATCAGATAAACTAACTCGTAATAACTAATGAGAAAATACATACTTAGTTAATATGGTTAAGTGATAAACGTCTGTATAAAAAAATATTTATTTCACATTCGTTAGTTTGATGTAAACATTAATTACAAATTAATTTATATCTAATTTAGTTTAACATGTGGTAGGTTTCAATAATGATAAACATTTTATTACCGATTTTTATGCAGACCTTGTAAAATTCGTAAGTTTATTTCACAATGTGAAACCCCAATATCCGAATAACGTATAAACTTTACTTATGCAAATAGCGCATTAAAACAAAATTCGTGTTGGAATTAGAACTGTGGTAAGAATTATAACTCCATCCTACATTAGTTACTTGCAAGGTTATGACCAAAAAAAAAAAGGTTACTTGCAAGGTTTTAGTCGCACCAAAAGCTCTTCTATATTTTTAGGGATGACAATGTGGAAGCGCGGGATGGATTAACTCTTCCCCTACTAAGATTTTGCCCTACCCTGCGCTGCCCCATTTAGATCAAACTCCGCCATGCGATGTCCTTCCCCATTTAACCTCACAGTTACATATTCTTTATTTTAATTATCTTCATTTGAATGTTTCTTCTAATTTAATCTCTTTAAATGTCATCTTCAACTTCTCTTTTAATTTTTACAGTTCTCTAATTTATTGAATTCTGAATTTCTTATAATTTTACTTTTATAATTGTTAAGCCATTTTGATTTTGTAATCTTCTCACGGGGGTTACTTTATGGCAAAACTCATTTTTATTTGATTTTAGCTCAAATAGATTACTTCATATAACTTGGTAATTTTTGAATTCTAGTAAAGATTTGGGAAGGGACTGTTGCGAGGTAATTAAAATAATTTCGATCTTAGTCAAATTATATGCTATTAATTATGAGGGAAGGTCCAGACTCTTGGGGATCGTCATCTTACCCGCAGTAAGAAAGGTGAAAATACGAGTGAGGACTCCAAGTAAAGGTGAAAATAAGAAAGTAGTACCTCTCACTTTAAAAAATAATATAATTGTAAACAATCACAACTTTGATATCAATTCGTACTTTAATTTACTTTTTTCTTTGAAATATGAGGATCAAATTTTTTTTTTCCCAAACGAAACTCAAAACACACTATTTTGATTTGTGACGACAAGGATCAGACCCTAGTATACTTTTACATCCTATAGACGTGTTCTCCACTTGTTGAAAGGCTTGAATGTCTAGGGATATCTCTTGGACGTGTCAAGCGTATCAAATAAGCCCGGACAAGGCTCAGAACGTAGAACATTATCAACTTACATGTTATGCTATGGATCATTGATACTCATTGAAATGATTGAATGCCTAAGAGATTTCGTTGGATGTGTGAGGCACGCCAAATAATTAAGCAAGGAATCACAACAAAAACAGAGAGCGGAAACTTGATAAGCCAGTCTCAAAATAACCTATGTCTCAAAGTATAATAGGTTCGATAAAACAGTGTGCGAAGTCAGGAACAATGATAAGGACATTCAAGGGTGTTCAAAATTTAATGTACACATATAAAAATAATAATTAATTTATATGTATAGTATAATTTTCTGCTAAAGGGTATCCAATTAAATCATTTTTTGCTATCTGAACTCAAGATTTGAACTATGCAGGTTCGGGATAACACTGAACTCATTGACCATTGGACTTCCTAGTTTCAAATTTTTATATTTGTATATACTTATTAAATTTCTTAACACATATATAAGATGCGAGTCAAAGCTACTGCATAGATTCGTGTATTGGTAGAAAAAAGACATGACACGTGGACTGTCAACAAGCTGACAGGGTATGACATGTGGAACGTCGATGAAAGGACAAGTGGCATTCTCAATTAGGAAAATTAAGAATAAAGAAAAGGCATGGAAGAAACACCCACGGGGTTACATTGAGGAAAGAATCGGACTTGACAGCTGTTAAAGGAGAAACGAGAACGAAATGAATGAAGCCTGCAAAGAAGGGAAGATACACGAATCAGAAGTAAATAAAGAAGGGAAATCGGTATGGTTACAAGAAATCTTTAGTCATAAATGTATCAGTTACGGTTACATATGGTAACGGGCAATCAATTCAATTAATACCATTAGTGAGCCCAAATTAAGTATAAGAACCGTTATATTTGTATGCTCCTATATAAGGACGAAAATCTCATTTGTAATGGCAGGTGACAATTATTATTGAAATCCACACTATTATTCTTTGTTTTATTCTTCAAGCTTTAAGTTTTAATTTTGGAGAGCGATTATTAGTTCATTTCTTATCTTTCTTTGTCAATCATTTTCATTCTTTGATCTATTCTTCCAAAATTATTGGGAAAGTGAAGTAAATCTTAGTTATCAGTAATCCGATTTCTCCTTGATATTGACTTTGACTGAGAAATCTATTTTTAGTCAAACAAATTGGTTCCGTTACCGAAAATCTGATAATCTTTTCACTTTCCAAATTTCATTTTTTGATAACTAACTATGTCAGCTGTTAACAAAAATAACCAGATGAACCAACAAGGTGGAACTCCATCGCACCACCCACCTACGGGATCCCCTCAGCAATCCCGTGGAAGTTCACCTGAAAGGTCCGCATCACGCGCTGATGATCAGCAATGGGACGAACAAACTACAGAGCAAGATGCTCTAAAGCAATTGATCGCAGAATATGTGAATAGTGCACTACAAGCTTTTCCCAGAGGATTACCCAATACGACACAAACTCCTCCACCGGTCAATACATCAACATTGAAAAACCCGCGCTCATGGCTTGATAATTCTGAAAGTGGAGAAATTCCTAACGAATCTCGTGATAGAGGGTCAGGTATACCAAATAATTCTAATTTACAAAGTTTAGTACTAACTTTGTAGAAATAATTGAAGGAGTAAAATGACCGCATAGAGCAAAGAGCTGGCATGCCACCCGTGATCAAAGGGGTGGATATTGACAAAGTATTCA